TCATGTGTGAGCTGTCAACCAGATTCTGCTCAGATTCATTTCTTATTGCAGTTGGCATATAACCTTCCCCCCTTGGTTAAGTTTGGGATCCTGCTTACCTCTCTCTCTGACATCCCACCTTCCCACCTATCTCTCTGCCCCCATGGGTGGCTTTTGGCTGAATCTATCTCATAATAGCAGTGCTGAGTGCCAAGCGGCCTGTATTAGATCCTTAGCAAGAGATATGAAATGAAGCACATTGCTCCTGGGAACTCACAGGGACCAGAATGTACGCATCGACAAAAACTAATACACAGCGGATTTATACATTTCTCTCTATAATTTATACAGAATGGGGTGATGCTGAGGTGAGATTTCAAATGACTCTTGGTATGTGTACGACACAACCTCTAAAATAGTGCCCAGTGACCATCCTTTGCTGACATTCACTCTTGGGCCACTTCCTTGTGAATGGGATGGCCCCACTGGACGATGTGAGCTGTCACATGGATAGATGAATGTGGTAAGGAGCTGATGTTTATAACCAGAGCCTGTGGTTGGCCTGGAATGTGATTCCTCACTCAGTAGAACCATAACTTTGGTCCTGGTCAGCACCTGAGCCAGATGATCACTAATCAACATCTGGATTCCAGATACGCAGAAATCATGAGATTTGTAGTAGTAGACAATTAATACAGTGTAGCCCCCAAGCAGGTAATTATACCCCTCTACTGAGTCCACCAGAATGTTAATCTCACATTCTGCTACAGCCTCTCCACGGCTCCCGTTGACTCTTCTCGGCCATGCCTTTTTCTTGGACGTCTTTGTAGGAGTTTTTCTTCTGCCTGATATTGTCAGCTTTCTCTTCTCCAGGGAATAGATTCTGGCTTGACACCCGTGCCCTCTGGAGAACGAGCCTCTCACTCAGAACCAGGCCCTATCTCTGCCCCGTTTGGGGCCTTAGTGTCACTTTGCCCCTGCCTACACTGAGCATGCCCACTGCTATTTTCATTGTTAGGTGCCTTCATCCACTTTGTGTTACTGTCACAAAGTGCCTGGGTCTGGGCACTTTATAAAGAAAATACAGTGATTAATCTCACAATTTGAGGCATGACACATGACAAGCCACATCATCAGCATTGATTCTGACAGTGTGCAATTCCTAGAAGGCAGAAGACTACATCAGCTCCCAAGCCCTGGTATCTAGAATAGTGCCATGCCAGAACACCATTCCTGGAACGGATCAATGATTATTTTTCTAAAACAAGGATGCTTAGGTAGAAGGGGGCATCTGGTAACTAATTCCCCATGCATACAGTGTGCTTGAAGCATTTTGTAGAAGTCTCCTCTGGTTTACTGGGTAATTCATCATTTTGAGCGTTCAACTGTTGAGGTGGCCTCAGGGCTGTAAAGCTCCCTCTGTCTGATGCTGGCCCATCAGTTAACGTTTGAAGGTTGGCAGTTCTATAATCGGACTTGACATCATCGCAGTCTATAACCTTGGAGTAGAAATAGCCCAGGCATCACAAATGCTCCTGCTCTTCATTTTCAGAGAAAGCTTGAAAGAAAATATGAAGGCATCTGTGGGAACAAGCTCAATGGGCATCTTTAGGCACAATCTGGAAGCAGTTAGGAAGGCTGTGTTTGTCGTTCAAGTGGTGATGGAGGACACAAGAAGGCCGTTGATAGAACACATCGGTGTGAACCACATTGCACATCTATCTGTTCTACCACCCAACAAAGGTTCTTTTCCTAGTGCCCGCTGCCCATAACAAACAGATTTCAAATGGGCTTCATTACACTTACTGAGGACCCTTTCCGGGCTCTTTCCACAGAGCAGTCTTTCCGAAACACACATTGTCTTACTGTTTGTCTTGTTTAACATTTACTGTGTCCAGCCTGGTGCATCCTCTTACCAGGTGCTGTCTACCTCTGATGACACTTGCTGTCTTTCATGGCCTTGAGGACACATGGCCTTGAGGTCTTGTCCCTCTCCAGAGGATGAACATGATCTTTGGGGCCTAGTTAATCCTATTGGTCCTCCAGATTTCATATCACTCATTTATGGTGATATTTTATTTGTACTGAAATGTGATTTTATTTGTATGTTAATAAATAAAGTTGCCTTGGGGTCAGAGCTAATAGCAAGCCATAGCAGTGGTAGCACAAACCCTTAATCCCGATCACATGACAGGCAGATCTCTGTGTGTTCAAGGATACCACCAGCATGGAGACACACCTTTAATCTCAATACCTACCATAGAAGACCTGGAGGTCTGTATAGATGGGCAATGATGAGGAGGTCATGTGGTTGGGTTTACAACCAATGAGAAGGCAGAATAGAAAGTCTATAAAAAGACAAATACACAGGAAGTAGCTCTCTTGCAGAGAGGTAGG